CCCCGCACATCCTCGCATGATGTGTTCTGCATACAAGTTAAAAAGGTTGGGCGAGAGGATGCAGCCTTGCCGGACGCCTTTCCCAATCTCAACTAACCAAGCATTATTCTGAGTTCTATAAGAAAAGTTACAACTTGTAACCACACGCTTAGTGCTCAATAAACTTGTTAACTTTTGTTTGAAGACTGCCTCATCTCCATCAATTCTGCGTCCAGTGTGCCATTTCTCACAATATTATAACTTACCTCAGAAACGCAGGGGAAAGTAACCAAATAGATCTACATTCTTCTCTCCGGTCACACTACAATATATACAGTGTAATTACTACTAAGTTATTACTTTCTTAATAAAGGAGGAGGTGCGATTGAACAGCCTCCCTTCTAACTTGATGGTAAATTTGGTTCCTAATCGGCAACCTCCATTGCAAATCGGCCAGTTCTTTTAAAGATTGGGAACTGGGGTAAAATCTCCTGAACACTGGTTCCTTTCAAGTTGGTAGCAACAATAAATCATCCCTAGGCTCCCCTGCTTCTTCGCAGGAATACTATATGCTCTTTTGATAATACACTTTGACATTACGCATAGATTGTTTTGTGTTTGTGCTGATACCTTGCAAGTACTCTGGGATATTATATAGTGTATATGTTGTATGTCAAAATTGGCATGGAATGTTTCCCATATATGTGTACACTGCGATCCGCTCTGAGTCCCCTGCGGGGTGAGGAGAAGGGCGGAATAGAAACGCTGTAAACAAATCAATAAAGAATGATACATGATGATGGGTGTTGTAATTTACCCACTTCTTATGCCTTTTAAACGAATCCACTCTTAAAATCCAGATCCCAAACATGAATCCTGTTTTATTGTTCTTGTTACAAAAGATCGAACCCGGGCATTGCCGGCACCAAAGGGGGTTGATCCCAAAATCCTGGCCGTTCTCTGCACCGATGGAGCCTGCCTGGGCAAGGTGGCCCAACCCTGCCCTCCAGAGAAGGAGGACGAGGGGGAGGAGGCACAGCCCGGCCCTTGCCCTCCACAGCAGAGAGAGAGAGAGAGAGAGAGAGAGCAAGGAAGGCACCCGCTGGAAGTCTTCCAAGAGCCAAGGCCTGTGCACGGGCAGCGGCAGGGCGGGACCAGCGGCTTTCCCTGGCATGAGCTGGCCAGAGCCCCCGGAAGCCCCTCTGGCTTGCTGCCTGCCTCTCTCCTGCCAAAGAGGCTGCCGCCCCCCTGCCCCCCAAGGAGAGGCCACATTGTGTGGGAGGGACACCCCACTCCTCCGGGCTGGCTGGGCGCTATGCTATGGGCCAGCGCCCTGAGGGCAAACCCTGGCCAGGGTCAGGCCCTGGAGGGCGGACTGGCAGATGGTGCCATAGGACTGGGAGTAGCTGCCCAGGCAGGCCTTGGGGTCCCCTGCCGCGCCCACGTTGGCCGTCCCCTGGAAGAGCTTCTTGCAAGGCTGCTTCGGGAGGGGGGCCGCCCCTCGGCCGAGAGACTCGGAGCGCCTCGCATTCTGCAAGGCAACAACGGAAAGGTCTGCCGGTGAGAACAGGAAGGCAAAGAAGGGCCACTGCCTCAGCCCCCCTCTCCTTGGTGTGGTGAGCATAGTTGCAGCCCCAGGCCCCCCCCCCCCCCCATGGAAGCCCTCTCAGAGGGGCCCGCTTTTCTCACCTCCCCTGGCGGAGGGGGCTCCTTGCGCATCAGAGGCTGGTGGAGGGCCAGCTGGTGGGCCTGCGCAGAGAGCGAGAAAGGGGGCCGGGGGGCCGGCAGACCCCCCTCGAGGTAGTGCGGCACCTGTGGAGAGAGTGCAGGCTGAGAGTGACCCCCTTCTCAGGGAGGGAGGGAGGGACACTCTGCCCCAAGGAGCCCCACAGCAGCACAAACAGGCAGAGCACCGAGGTCTTGGGGTGACTTCCAAGGCTCCGTGCCGCCACCGAGCAGGCCCCCCCCCTGATCCCCACTCGATGAGACTGACACACACACACACACAACGTGACACTCTCCTCATGCACCCAGCCCCAAGGAGCCCCACAGCAGCACAAACAAGGCAGGGCACCCAGGTCTTGTGGTGACTTGGCTCCGTGCCGCCACTGAGCAGCCCCCTGAGGGGGAGGGTGCCCTACCAGCCCCCCCTCTGATCCCCACTCAATGAGACTGACACACACACACACACAACGTGACACTCTCCTCATGCACCCAGCCCCAAGGAGCCCCACAGCAGCACAAACAAGGCAGGGCACCCAGGTCTTGTGGTGACTTGGCTCCGTGCCGCCACTGAGCAGCCCCCTGAGGGGGAGGGTGCCCTACCAGCCCCCCCTCTGATCCCCACTCAATGAGACTGACACACACACACACACAACGTGACACTCTCCTCATGCACCCAGCCCCAAGGAGCCCCACAGCAGCACAAACAAGGCAGGGCACCCAGGTCTTGTGGTGACTTGGCTCCGTGCCGCCACTGAGCAGCCCCCTGAGGGGGAGGGTGCCCTACCAGCCCCCCCTCTGATCCCCACTCAATGAGACTGACACACACACACACACAACGTGACACTCTCCTCATGCACCCAGCCCCAAGGAGCCCCACAGCAGCACAAACAAGGCAGGGCACCCAGGTCTTGTGGTGACTTGGCTCCGTGCCGCCACTGAGCAGCCCCCTGAGGGGGAGGGTGCCCTACCAGCCCCCCCTCTGATCCCCACTCAATGAGACTGACACACACACACACACAACGTGACACTCTCCTCATGCACCCAGCCCCAAGGAGCCCCACAGCAGCACAAACAAGGCAGGGCACCCAGGTCTTGTGGTGACTTGGCTCCGTGCCGCCACTGAGCAGCCCCCTGAGGGGGAGGGTGCCCTACCAGCCCCCCCTCTGATCCCCACTCAATGAGACTGACACACACACACACACAACGTGACACTCTCCTCATGCACCCAGCCCCAAGGAGCCCCACAGCAGCACAAACAAGGCAGGGCACCCAGGTCTTGTGGTGACTTGGCTCCGTGCCGCCACTGAGCAGCCCCCTGAGGGGGAGGGTGCCCTACCAGCCCCCCCTCTGATCCCCACTCGAATGAGACTGACACACACACACACACAACATGACACTCTCCTCATGCACCCAGCCCCAAGGAGCCCCACAGCAGCACAAACAAGGCAGGGCACCCAGGTCTTGGGGTGACTTCCAAGGCTCCGTGCCGCCACTGAGCAGCCCCCTGAGGGGGAGGGTGCCCTACCAGCCCCCCCTCTGATCCCCACTCGATGAGACTGACACACACACACACACAACGTGACACTCTCCTCATGCACCCAGCCCCAAGGAGCCCCACAGCAGCACAAACAAGGCAGGGCACCCAGGTCTTGGGGTGACTTCCAAGGCTCCGTGCCGCCACTGAGCAGCCCCCTGAGGGGGAGGGTGCCCTACCAGCCCCCCCTCTGATCCCCACTCGATGAGACTGACACACACACACACACAACGTGACACTCTCCTCATGCACCCAGCCCCAAGGAGCCCCACAGCAGCACAAACAAGGCAGGGCACCCAGGTCTTGTGGTGACTTGGCTCCGTGCCGCCACTGAGCAGCCCCGAGGGGGAGGGTGCCCTACCAGCCCCCCTTCTGATCCCCACTCGATGAGACTGACACACACACAACGTGACACTCTCCTCATGCACCCAGCACAGTCCTAATTCTGGGGGCACAACGGGGCTGCAAGGGGGCACGTTAGGCTAGTCCCCCCCTTCCAAGCTGTGTCCTGGGACAGTCCTACTGAGTCGGGCACGGGCCAAATCCTCCCCATCCAATGGCAATAACTGTTCAGGTACCATCTTGGCATCTCTACTGCACAGTCCTAATTCTGGGGGCACAACGGGGCTGCAAGGGGGCACGTTAGGCTAGTCCCCCCCTTCCAAGCTGTGTCCTGGGACAGTCCTACTGAGTCGGGCACGGGCCAAATCCTCCCCATCCAATGGCAATAACTGTTCAGGTACCATATTGGCATCTCTACTGGGCTGGGAGCCCAACAGCCAGAGGAGGGGCCTTGCTCAGCCCCCCCCTTGATGTAACTGCAGTTGAGAGTCGGAGTCGGGGGGGGGGGCGGGAGTGCAGAGCTGGCCCTGGCCGACAGTGGAGGCGTGAGGGCCCGCTCAGTGACCACTGCCACCTGCCTCCCACCTGCAAGGCATGTCCTGCGAAGGGGCTACTCACGCCTTGGGGGGCGGGATGGGCACTCCCGGGGGGGCAGGACCCCCGCCTCCTCCCTCTCCGCCCAAGCGCAGCGCCCGCCGTTGTCTCTTGCTGCCGTGCCTGCACAAGGAGCGGGGCAGAGCGGTTCCTGGGCAGGCCTCCTGCGGAAGGAAAGGAGCAGGAAGAGAGGGGAGGGAGGTCGTTCAGTGAGGGAGACCCCAAGGGTCATCCAGCCAACAAGACAGGAGGGCCAGCTGCCGAATCTCTGGTGGAATACAGTGGAATGGACTCCCGGGAGTCGGGTGGCGCCTCCTTCTCTGGGGCCCTTAAACAGAAGCTGGAGGACCATCTGCCAGGAGGGCTTTGATTGTTCCTTCCCATATGGCGGAAAGGGGACGTACTGGGGGTCTTTTCCAACTCTAGGATTCTGTGAGAAGACTCTGGATGGAGATGGTGCTTTGGCTGGAGATCGTGCGTTGGGACTGAGTTCAGTGGCTCAATGGGACCTCCCGTATCATGGAGGCCCTCCCCAAGCCCCCTCCTCCCCCCCCATGAGACTCCTGCCCCCACCCCCTCCCTTTGCGTGGCCCCTGAGGGGGGGATCCAGCTCACAGGACTCTTGGTCGGCAGGGTCACCCAGTGCACTCTGCGCACCAACCTCAATGCGCAGCCCTTTGCCCCCATTTCCCCAGAGAGAGAGGGAAGGGGCCCAAACATACCATGGGATGCTGCTGCAGTGGAGGTGGCTTTTGCTCTGGGGGCTTCCTGGGCCTCTGGGGGGGCCAGGCAAGGATCCTCCTCCTGCGACTGAGGGCGGTGGAGCTGCTCCTGCTTCTGACGCTGGTTGTGGGCCTTCTTCTCCAGGATCATCTGTGGGAAGAGAGGAAGACCTGCTCGCACTACGAGCAAAGCAGCCAAGGAGGAGGGGCTGCCCAAAGGATGTGAGAAGCCCACCGTCCCAGGGAGGACTGCTGCCTTTCCGAGCAGGATTCAGGCTGTTTTTGCTGGGGGGTGGGTGGGTGTTGGGTTGCCTGGCCATGTTCCAGAAGCATTCCCTCCGGACATTTTGCTCACATCTATGGCTAAAGGCACCCTCAGAGGTTGAGGGGTCTGTTGGAAACAAGGCAAGTGGGTTTTATATATATATCTGTTAGGGATGCCTCATCTTCGGAGGAGGATGGGGAGCAGGGAAGTGCTCAGGAATTGGAGGGAGAAGAAGTATCAAGACGATGAGGGTGTGAAAGTGCCCACATTTCTAGAGACGAAAAGAGACAGAGCACAGACGGTGTTCAGCTAGGATAGCTGCTAAAAACGCTGAGCTAATTGGGAGACACCCCTAGCACCTCCTGCGTGGGGAATTCAGGGCTATAAATCAGGAGGAGGAAGGGGAGCATGGAAGTGCTCAGGAATTGGAGGGAGAAGAAGAATCAGACGATGAGGTTTTACAAGTGCCCACATTTCTAGAGACGACAAGAGACAGAGCACAGACGGCGTTCAGCTAGGATAGCTGCTATAAACGCTGAGCTAATTGGGAGACTCCCTAGCACCTCCTGCATGGGGAATTCAGGGCTATAAATCAGGAGCAATCAGCTTTGGCTGGTAACGACCCTGACACTGATGTTTTCACTCCAATGGAATCTGCTTTGTGTCTGCTGCTAAGGACTTAGTTTATTGCCCGTTGTCTGATGGGAGACTGGTGTTTCTTTTGGGACTTTGTAAGAGACTTTAATTTGTGTCTGAATTAAGACTTCCTTGCTTTCCTTTGCACTTTTCAATTGCATTTGCTTATCCTTTGTGTTTGCTGAAGTAAAGCATTTTCCCTTCTACTTTCAATGTTGTCGAAAGGCTGTTTTTAAAGGGCAACTCAGGACGCTATCAATCCCTACGGAAAGATGTCCAGGGGGGGAGAAAGAGCTCTTGAATGTTGCCATTGGCCACTTCGATTAATGGCCTAGCAGTTTCAAGGCCTGTCTCCTTACTGCCTGGGGAATCCTTTGTTGGGAGGTGATTATGTATCTCCTTTCCTCAACCAGGGAACTGCAGCCCACAGCCTCTTTGAGAATGGGGCCCGGCCCTTCTCTCTCATGCTGCGCACTGAGGAGCAAATACCAGGGAGTCACCCCACGTCGCTCCACCTCAACTCCTGCCCCCTTCATGCCCCCCAAAGCCTCCCTCAACAGGCCAGCCTCTCTCCTCCCCCCCCCCCACCAGGTGGGACATGGCCTTGCCCTCCAGGAACCCCCCCCCCCCCCCGACACATTCAGTACAATTCCTGGCAGGGAACTGCCTCAAAGGCCTTTGGGGAGTCACAGGAAGGCCCTCAGGGTCTGACCGGCTCAGACTACCACCCGTTGTTCACCTCTCACTTGAGCCCTTCCCAAAGTTGCTTGAGAAAGGAGGTACGGAGCCTCAGAGCAAGGCAGCCCCCCCCCCGGAAAGGGAACAGGGGGTTCATGAAGGGGGCAGCAAGGGGAGCCTGGGGGTGGCCGGGAGCATCTATCTGGACACGGCCCCTCCACTACCCACCAGGCCAGGCGTCATGCCGATGGAGAGGCCGGAGAAGACCACCCCGGGCGCTGTGCCCAAGCCGCCTGCCAGAAGGGGCTTCTGCCTCCTGGAGCCCCACCACCAAATGTTGGATGGCAAACCACCAGGCTGGGCCTGGGCCAACTTCAGCCTCCCTCCAGGTGTTTTGGAGTTCAAACTCCCGGAAATCCCAGCCACCATACCGGCTGTGGGAATTGTGGGTGTTGAAGTCCAAAACAGCTGGAGTTTGCCCAGGTCTGCATGGGGCCTTGGAACCCCACCCCTCCTGCTTGGGTTCTAGATCAGTGGTTCTCAACCTGAGGTCCCCAGATGTTTTTGGCCTTCAACTCCCAGAAATCCTAACAGCTGGTAAACTGGTTGAGATTTCTGGGAGTTGTAGGCCAAAAACATCTGGGGACCCCAGGCTGAGAACCACTGTTCTAGATGCACTGACGGCCTGGCACTCAGTTTCAGTGGAGGCTGGGGTCCAAGGCGACATTCTTCAAGGCAAGGGAGGGGGCAATCAGCCCTAAGGGACCCCAACTGGGGGTTCCTCAGAGTCCCGCCTCAGAGAAGCATCTCCAGGCACCCACCTGCCCCTCAAAGGGCTCAAGGACAAGGCCCTCTTTGCCCCTCTTTGCAGTCCTCTGAGGGGGTGCCAAGTAGGGGCAAAAGGAGGCTGTGCCTTCAAGAGATCTCCCCCTGGGGGGCGGACACAGCCCTATGACACACCAGGCCCCAGGTGAGAAAGGGAGCGCAATGGGGCTTTTCTAGGAGCATGCAAGGAATTAGTTCATGTGTGTGTGTCAACTGTGAAACAACATGAATGAAGCTGATTGGTCAGGCAATGCCTGGGAAGCAGGCTGAGCCTGGGACTTTTGGTTACTGTTACGATTTTGTTCAGACTTGAGCTATGCAGTTGCTGAGAGAGAGAGACAGCAAGAAGAGAGAAGCAGAAAGAGATGGAGTTTGGAGTGTGCTTTCACTTCATGAGCTGCTGAAGGAGTTTATGTCCAAAGACTATTTCAAATCTCTCATAAAAGGACATTATGAGTTGATGCAACTGATGACACTGTACATATGTTGTTCTGAACTATGAAGAGTAAACTACTTGTGGTATATTTTCTTTCTCTGGCAAGGCAGTGTATGGACCAATCAAATGTGAACTTTGTTCATTCGTTCAGTCATCTCCGACTCTTTGTGACCTCATGGACCAGCCCACGCCAGAGCTCCCTGTCGGCCGTCCCCACCCCCAGCTCCTTCAAGGTCAGTCCAGTCACTTCAAGGATGCCATCCATCCATCTTGCCCTTGGTCAGCCCCTTTTCCTTTTACCTTCCACTTTCCCCAGCATCATTGTCTTCTCTAGGCTTTGCTGTCTCTACACGTGAACTACACATGGTTTATTTTCTATTACGCCACAGCTTTACCTCGTAGAGCTTATTGCGGTACTCGGCCACGGAGAGCTGCACGTCGTCATCCAGGGGAAGGACCACGCTGCCGCGGAGGGAAGGCTCTCTGGCCAGAGAGTGGAACCTGCCAACGGAACGTTCACCATGAAAGGCTCAGGAGGAGGGGCCCTTCCTTCCTCCCCCAGCCCACCCGTCCCCACACCTCCAACTGGGGCTTCTGCTGGGTGTTTTCACCCAGGCTCTGCCCTACCTTCGCACGTAGGGGTGCTCCAGCGCCTCTTCCGCCGTCGGCCGCTTCTCAGGGTTGAAGGCCAGGAGCCGCTTGAGAAGGTCCAGGGCCTGCGGGGGCGTGGAGGGCGGGAGGAGCTCCTCAAAGGTCACCCGCTGCCTGCAGTTGGGTGGAAGGGGCAGCACCGCCAGTCAGCCTGCACCCCAAAGCCAGCCCCACCCACAACATGCCCCCTCCCTCCCTCCCTCCCTCCCTCCCAGGAGAGGACTCACTGGCCACTCAAGCGGCTGATGATGGACGCTCTGTAGTCCGAATGGAAGGCGGCCACATCTGCACGAGAAAGCCAGCTGCTCAAGGTCTTTCTTTTCTCAAGGAGGAAATCCCTGACACAAGGCTCTAGGACAGTGGTTCTCAACCTGGGGTCCCCAGATGTGTTTGGCCTACAACTCCCAGAAATCCCAGCCAGTTTACCAGCTGTTAAGATTTCTGGGAGTTGAAGGCCAAAACATCTGGGGACCCAAAGGTTGAGAACCACTGCTCTAGGAGAGCCAAAGCGGAGACTCACACACACACACACACACACACCACCTTTGGTGACTCTCCAACCCCACAGTGGAGAAGAGTGGCCCAGGAGTCTTTCTCCACAAAGGGACCCCCAGTCCTGCCTCTCTTGACCCCCTTCCCTGCCTAGGAGCCCCTCGGATGTGGTCAGCCCCGCCCCGGGTCAAGGAACGTGAGCAGACGTGGACCAGCCTACCCATAAGCAGAGGACAGGGCTGGCCAGCACTGACCGCTTCCTCAGCTGTGAGGCCAGTGCTCTCAAGCAAGGGCCTGACCCCTTCTGGTGTCTCCTGATTGCGCATGTGCGCAAATGAGGGATCCACCTCACAAGTTCTTGTATCAACTTTCACAGCGACAGGACAGGAAAGGTGAGTGTGTGTCACCATTTTACAGCACTGGGCAAAACATGGCAACATGTGACAGCAGTAAATGCAAGCCAAGCCACCAGCAGAGAACACGACTGCTCTGGACGAGTGCCGGTCTCAAGGGCAGTTGGGTGCATTTAGTGCTGAACCCACTGAAATGACAGCAGTGGCTGGAACATAGCAGGTAGGCTGATTTGGAGGAGGGCTGGGGGCTTGGTGAGGGGGAGAAAGCACCAGAGGAGGGGTCCCCCCATCCTTGCTCCTCAGGGCACACCCAACCCCCCCCCCAAAAAAAAGACTAGCCCTAGCTCACCTTCTGGGGAGGGGGCAGGAACCACCCGCAGGATCTGCTCAATCTGGTTGATGGTGGAGGAGCCGGGAAAGAGGGGCTTCCCCAGGAGCATCTCCCCCAGGATGCAGCCGATGCTCCACATGTCCACCCCTTTGGTGTAGCTGCAAGGACGGAAGGACAGGCACCTCTGTGGGTGTGGGGGGTGGTGGTGGGGGGGCTACAGACACCCCTCACCCCCAAAGGCACTCCTGGAAGTGAAGGGGAGCGAGGACATTGGTACAGAAGCCCCCTCCTCTTTGGCAGTGAGGGGTAAGCGTCCTTTTGGTAAGAGAACAACACAAGTCCCAGCAAGCCATCTCTGCTCAGCTCACCCAACGCACCAGCTTCACCCCAAGAGGCGCAGCAGGTTGGCCCCACAAATTCCCCCAAAAGACCCGGCCCCAGGGAGGATCCAGACCCGCCGTGAAGGACCCTCGGTGCCCCATTCGCCTTGCCCTCCTCCTTCCCACCCTGCATGAGGAGACAGGCCTCTCTCTGGTGGAAAGACAAGGAAGGAAGCAGCCAAGCCCCCCATCTCTTCTTCCTCCTTGGTGGGGCTGGCCTCTGCCACGTCTCTGCCACCGCTGGGATCCTCCGCACCGGTGGGCCCCCGCCCTCAGCCTCCCCCATCCCCCCTTTGCTTGCCCCAAGGGGCCCGCTCTACCTGTGGGAGGCCAGCAGGATCTCTGGGGCCCGGTACCAGCGGGTGGCAACGTACTCGGTGAGCGGGGGGCTGCTTTGAGGGTGGTGGGCCTGGCGCAGGGAGCGGGCCAGCCCAAAGTCGCATAGCTTCACAAAGCAGTCGGCGTCCAGCAGGACGTTGGAAGGCTGCGAGCGCAAAGGCGGTCAAGGTGAGCGAGCGAGCAAGAGGACACCTCCTCTCCTCCCGGTAGGGGCCAGGACGAAAGGGCGCGTCCTCCAGATGCCCTTGAGCCAAGCGGCCTCTTCGCTTGCTTGGTGTGTAGCTTTCAAAGACGTACATTTTAATGTGTGTATTTGTAGTGTTTTTGCAGTGTTTATGTGTTTTAATTGTTCTGTAACCTCCTTCAATCCAGGACAAGATCAAGGTAGGAAATAAAATAATAATAATAATAATAATAATAATAATAATATGTAATGGGTTGTTGTAGGTTTTTTTCGGGCTATATGGCCATGTTCTAGAGGCATTTCTCCTGACGTTTCGCCTGCATCTATGGCAAGCATCCTCAGAGGTAGTGAGGTCTGTTGGAACTAGGAAAAAGGGTTTATATATCTGTGGAATGACCAGGGTGGGACAAAGACTCTTGTCTGCTGGAGCTAGGTGTGAATGTTTCAACTTGATTAGCATTTGATTGCCTGGCAGTGGCTGGAGCAAACTTTTGTTGAGAGGTGATTAGATGTCCTTGTGTTTCCTCTCTGTTGTTGTGCAGAGACGACACAAAAAAAGACATATAATCACCTCTCAACGAAAGTTTGCTCCAGGCACTGTCAGGCCATTATATGCTAATCAAGGTGGTCAGTTGAAACATTCACACCTAGCTCCAGCAGACAAGAGTCCTTTGTCCCACCCTGGTCATTCCACAGATATATAAACCCATTTTCTTAGTTCCAACAGACCTCACTACCTCTGAGGATGCTTGCCATAGATGCAGGCAAAACGTCAGGAGAAAATGCCTCTAGAACATGGCCATATAGCCTGGAAAAACCTACAACAAACCAATAAACAAACAAACAAAATACTTGTAGTCTTTTTGCAGTGTTTGTGTGTTTTAATTCTTCTGTAACCCTCCTCAAGCCAGGAGGAGATCCGGGTAAGAAATAAAATTATTATTATTATTACTATTATTATTATTATTGTTATTATTATTATTATTATGGCCAGGATCACTGTGCTGCTGTGAGTTTTCCAGGCTATATGGCCATGTGTGGGGTGCAGTTAGCACAGTGAGTTAAACCACCAGCTATGGAAAATCTTGCTGACCAGAAGCTCAGCAGTTCAAGTTGTGGCTCAGGGTGAGCTCCTGCTGTCAGCCCTAGCTTCTGCTTACCTACCAGTTTGAAAACAGCTATGTCAGCTCCACTGGCTGCCGATTCAGTTCCGAGCACAATTCAAAGTGCTGGTTTTGACCTATAAAACCCTATACGGTTCCGGCCCAGTGTACCTGTCCAAATGTATCTCCTTCTACGTCCCACCTCGGAGTTTAAGATCTTCTGGAGAGGCCCTGCTCTCAGCCCCAACTTTATTACAAATGCGCTTGGTGGGGGTGAGGGACAGGGCCTTCTCGGTGGTGGCCCCCCCCTGTGGAATTAACTCCCCAGGGAAATTAGGTCATCTTCATCTCTCCTCTCCTTTAGAATGAAGCTGCCCTAAATCCCCCCCCCTTCCAGGGGGTTGAGAAGGGCGGGGTACAAATATCCGAAATAATAAATAAATAAATAAATATGTGAGTAGATAAATAGGTACCACTTTGGTGAGGAGGTGAAAGGTGCCCCTGAAGACATGCCGGCAATTCAATCAGGAAGGCATCCATGGACAACAGGCTCCATGGCGTGGAAAAATGGAACTAGAGCACCTCCCCATGTCTGAGTTGAGCACAACCTCCAGATACCAGAGAGGAAAAAGAGGGAAGCCTTGCCTCTGTGCCTGTCCGAACATATCTCCCACTATGTCCCACCTCGGAGTTTAAGATCTTCTGGGGAGACCTTGCTCTCAGCCCCGCACTTGGTGGGGACGAGGGACAGGGCCTTCTCGGTGGTGGCCCCCCACCTGTAGAATTCACTCCCCAGTGAAATTAGATTATCGACGTCCCACCTTTCCTTTAGAAAGAAGCTAAAAACGTGGATGTGGGACCAGGCCTTCGGGTAATTAGGCGGAAATGACAACGACAATGTTGACAATGGCTTGGAAATGGATTATGGGTAAGTTAAATGGAGTACTTCAATCACAGAATTCAGCCGGATAATGGCCACTAGACTGGTAATAGTTTAGTAGCTTGTAAGTACATTGCTTTAATATTTTTAACTATTATAATTACTGGTTATTTGTATTTTATTTTGTGGCATCGAATTGTTGCCCAGGGGGTTGAGAAGGGCAGGGTGCAAGCATTCGAAATAAATAAATAAATAAATACTGTCTGTCATTGTTGTCAACTATATAACAGCATTGAATATTTGCTATATATGTATGCTGTAATCTGCTCTGGGTCCCCTCAGAGAGATAGAGTGGAATATAAATAAAGTATATTATTATTATTACTATTATTATTATTATTATTATTATTATTATTATTATCCTAGAAGCATTCTCTCCTGATGTTTCACCCACATCTGTGAAACCCCACTTGCCTAGTTTCCAACAGACCTCACAACCTCAGGATGCCTTCCACAGATGTGGGTGAAACATCAGGAGAGAATGCTTCTGGAACATGGCCAGGCAGCCCAGAAAACTGTTGATATGTTTTAAAATGTATAATGTAGATTTCAGTGTTTTTGTATGTTTAAAAATGCAATGCTATGTGCCGATTGTAATTCCTCTGTGGAAAGGGTTAACTGAACCATGAAGAGAATCGGCATTCCTAGAGAGGTCATAAATCTTAGTGCAGAGAGGAAACTCTGGAATGCAGGAGGTGTGGACTAGTGCTGATAGCAGCATGTTCTGTGTTCGGGATGTAGCTGCCGAATGGAGAGGAAGCTTTTACGATGTGCTTAGCTTCTAATGTAAATACTTGTACAATCAATTAGTTTATAGCCTAAAGGAGACTGTGATCGATGCGATTCCTTGCCTTGCTGTGAGGAGATGCCACTGATAAAAACTCACAGCAACCCATTGTTATTATTCCCAGGCTGGACCGCTTGCTGCAGGGATACAGCCCTGAGCTTGTTGAAGGTGAACAGGTCTCTTCCTTCGAAGATGCATCCAGAAACCCGCCTACCTTCTGGTCCCTGTGGATGACGTCCCCCGAATGGATGTACTTGGTGGCCTTCAGCAGCTGGTACAGGATGTAGCACTTGTGGATGTCCTTCAGCAGGTTGCCCTTCTTGATCACAGCGTGGAGGTCCGTCTCTGGGCAGGGAGGGAGGGGAAGGGGTGTCATGGGGGTCGGCAGTAGGACACCTCCTCCTCCTCAGAATAGGATGGGGAGCTCCACCTTTGTGGGAAGGGCCCTCGTTTCCCGTTTCAGGGCTCACCCATGGACTCAAAGACCAGGTAAATGTCCTTGTTGTTCTGCGCCCGGATGACATTCAGGAGCTTGATGATGTTGGGGTGTGCCCCGAACTCCTGCAGGGAACCACAAGCAAAGCCTGCTGGCGACAATGGGAAGGAAGGGCTTCTCCCGGGGCTCTCTTGTGTAGAAACCGGGGCTGGCCGTGTGGCCGGCCCCAGCTTCTACACAAGAGTGACCCCCCAGAAACAACCCTTTCCCCGGGAGAAGCCCCAGTCATCGCCTCCTCCTGAGAAAAACTCATAATATCACAAAAGACGACCACCTCACCTTCTTCATAGGAAATCTGCTACAAAACAGGAGCTTTTTTGTTGAGTACCAGGGCCAGAGAAGCTGATGGTGGAAACAGAAGAACGGCCTGCCTCTGGGGAGTGTGCTTGGGGTGCGCCCCCCATCTATGTTTAATATTTGTTTATTACAAAAATGATCAGCCACTTCCAAAAGGAACAGACTAGGTTCTTGTGGGTTTTTTCGGGCTATAGGGCCATGTTCTAGAGGCATTTCTCCTGACATTTCGCCTGCATCTATGGCAAGCATCCTCAGAGGTAGTGAGGTCTGTTGGAACTAGGAAAAAGGGTTTATATATCTGTGGAATGACCAGGGTGGGACAAAAGACTCTTGTCTGCTGGAGCTAGGTGTGAATGTTTCAACTGACCACCTTGATTAGCATATAATAGCCTGACAGTGCCTGGAGCAATCTTTTGTTGAGAGGTGATTAGAAATCTATGCCTGGTTGTTTCCTCTCTGTTGTTTTGCTGTTGTAATTTTAGAGTTTTTTAATACTGGTAGCCAGATTTTGTTCATTTTCATGGTTTTTCCTTTCTGTTGAAATTGTCCACATGCTTGTGGATTTCAATGGCTTCTCTGTGTAGTCTGACATGGTGGTTGTGAGAGTGTGGTCCAGCATTTCTGTGTTCTCAAATAATATACTGTGTCCAGGCTGGTTCCTCAGGTGCTCTGCTATGGCTGGCTTCTCTGGTTGAAGTAGTCTGCAGTGCCTTTCATGTTCCTTGATTCGTGTTTGGGCGCTGTTTCCTCTATGCTGACGATCGTGCCATCACCACTCAAGCAGGGAGCTTTGAAATAGTTGAACAGAAGCTCTTCAAAGCTCTAGGTCCTCTTACTGCCTATTATTTATTTATTTATTGACTTTGCTTCTATACCGCTGTATCTCAAGCCCGAAGGCGACTCACAGCGGTTCACAAACAGTAAAAACAGTAGAAACAGCAGTGGTTCCATACAACATATAACAATTGACTTAACACATTATCCATAAATTACCAATAAGCAATTACAATGCACAATTATTACAAAAAACAACCGTACCCAATCTTCTCATCATCCAAGCGTAGTCCAGGTTCGTCGTCCATTGTTCCATTCCTATGTTCCATTACCAGATTGCACTAAATTACTCAAACGCCTGCACAAACATCCAGGTCTTCACCTTTTTGCGGAATACCATTAGAGATGGTGCTAGTCTAATGTCCGTAGGAAGGGCGTTCCACAGCCGAGGAGCCACCACCGAGAAGGCCCTATCTCTCGTCCCCGCCAGCCGAGAAGCTTGAGAAGCAGGCGGGATCGAGAGCAGGGTCTCCCCGGAAGATCTCAAACTCCTGGTGGGTTCATAGGCAGAGATGCGGTCAGATAGGTAGCTTGGGCCGGAACCGTTTAGGGCTTTAAAGGCCTACAGGGGAAACCATCTAAAACACAGCTGTGTGCTTTTCACCTTAAGAACAGACAAGCATCTTGAGCTCTGAGGACAACCTGGGAAAGAATCCCACTGGAGCATTGCAGCACACCCACATACCTGGGAGATACCCTACAAGAAGCACTGCCTGAATACCAAGCAAAAAGTGGGCACTAGAAACAATATCATACAAAAGCTGAGTGGCACAACCTGGGGAACTCCAGGGTGGCCTGACATGATGATGATGATAATAATAATAATAGAATCATAGAATCAGAGTTGGAAGAGACCTCCTGGGCCTTCATCCAGTCCAACCCCATTCTGCCAAGAAGCAGGAATATTGCATTCAAATCACCCCTGACAAATGGCCATCCAGCCTCTGCTTAAAAGCTTCCAAAGAAGGAGCCTCCACCACACTCCGGGGCAGAGAGTTCCACTGCTGAACGGCTCTCACAGTCAGGAAGTTCTTCCTAATGTTCAGATGGAATCTCCTCTCTTGTAGTTTGAAGCCATTGTTCCGCGTCCTAGTCTCCAAGGAAGCAGAAAACAAGCTTGCTCCCTCCTCCCTGTATATAATAATAATAATAATAATAATAATAATAATAATAAAAACTTTATTTATACCCTGCCACCATCTCCCCAAGGGACTCGGAGCGGCTTACATGAGGCCAAGCCCAACAACACATCAAAACAACAAGCAGTAATAAAATAACAAGCAATAAACAAAATAAACAATACAATTAATATAACTCACAAGTAGACAATAAACACAAGAATTAAAAAACCTATGGCTGGGCCAAATGTAATAGTTAAAACTTTAAAAATAAATGCTGGACATGAACAGAGGATGTATCTTGATTGTTGTTGTTCATTCGTTCAGTCGTCTCTGACTCTCTGTGACCTCATGGACCAGCCCACGCCAGAGCTCCCTGTCGGCCATCACCACCCCCAGCTCCTTCAAGGTCAAGCCAGTCACTTCAAGGATACCATCCATCCATCTTGCCCTTGGTCGGCCCCTCTTCCTTTTTCTTCCATTTTCCCCAGCATAATTGTCTTCTCTAAGCTTTCCTGTCTCCTCATGATGTGGCCAAAGTACTTCACTTTCCTCTAGTCTCCTTCCCTCCAATGAGCTTTAGTCGTGCTTTCCTGGAGGATGGACTGGTTGGATCTTCTCGCAGTCCAAGGCACTCTCAGAACTTTCCTCCAACACCACAGCTCAAAAGCGCCTCTCTTCCTTCGCTCAGCCTTCCCGAAGGTCCAGCTCTCACATCCGTAGGTGACTACAGGGAAGACCATGGCTTTGACTAGGCAATGGATCTTGGTTGCCAGTCTGATGTCTCTGCTCTTTATTTTATCGAGACTGGACATTGCTCTCCTCCCAAGAAGGAAGCGTCTTCTGATTTCCTGGCCTCAGTCTGCATCTGCACTCATCTTTGCGCCTAGAAATACAAAGTCTGTCACGGCCTCCACATGGCTCTATAGCCCGAAAAAACCTACAAGAACCTAATAATAATAATAATAATAATAATAATAATAATAATAATAATGTGTCTCTATTGGGAGGGTTTTAAACCAAAAGGAAAGACTAGGTTCTTGTGGGTTTTTTCGGGCTATATAGCCATGTTCTAGAGGCATTTCTCCTGACGTTTCGCCTGCATCTATGGCAAGCATCCTCAGAGGTTGTGAGGTCTGTTGGAAGTAGGAAAAATGGGTTTATATATCTGTGGAATGGCTGGGGTGGGGCAAGGAGCTCTTCTCTGCTGCAGTTAGGTGTGAATGTTTAGCTGATCACCTTCATTAGCATTTGAAGGCCTGCCTGAGTCTGGGAAAATCTGCTGCTGGGAGGTGTTAATCTGTGCCTGGTTTTTTCCTCTCTGTTGTTTAGCTGTTATAATTTTAGAGTTTTTTAATACTGGTAGCCAGATTTTGTTCATTTTCATGGTCTCTTCCTTTCTGTTGAAATTGTCACTACAAATGTTCCTGCCATACATCAAGGGAACCACTGATCGCATAGGGAAGCTGATGAGGAAACACAACATACAAACAATCTACAAACCCACCAAGAAAATCCAACAAATGCTACGTTCAGCAAAGGACAAGAGGGATCCTCTCACCTCTGCAGGAGTCTACCGTATACCATGCAGCTGTGGACAAGTCTACATAGGGACCACCAAACGCAGCTTGCCCAGACACGCATCAAGGAACATGAAAGGCACTGCAGACTACTTCAACCAGAGAAGTCAGCCATAGCAGAGCACCTGAGGAACCAGCCTGGACACAGCATATTATTTGAGAACACAGAAATGCTGGACCACACCAACAACCACCATGTCAGACTACACAGAGAAGCCACTGAAATCCACAAGCATGTGGACAATTTCAACAGAAAGGAAGAGACCATGAAAATGAACAAAATCTGGCTCCCAGTATTAAAAAACCCGGCTGTGGAACACCCTCCCTGTTGACATCAGACAGGCGCCCTCCCTTATGGCTTTTCGTAAGAGCTTAAAGACCTGGCTATTCGAGAAGGCATTTAATTGAGACCCACACGAATCTGGTAATGACATTTGGAACGGACTATGGATTATGAGATTGGCTATGATTCTATGTTGTGATGGCGCGGATCTATTAGTGTGATTTAGATTAATGTGTAATTCGGTTGTTGTTATATTGTATGTTTTTGTAGACTGTTTTTACATGTTGTACACCGCCGCGAGTCGCCCCAGGGCTGAGAGCGGCGGTCAACAAATGAAGTAAATAAATAATAAATAAATAAATAAAATTACAACAGCTAAACAACAGAGAGGAAAAAACCAGGCACAGATTAACACAGTACCTCCCAGCAGCAGATTTTCCCAGACTCAGGCAGGCCTTCAAATGCTAATGAAGGTGGTCAGTTGAAACATTCACACCTAGCTCCAGCAGACAAGAGTCCTTTGTCCCACCCTGGTCATTCCACAGATATATAAACCCATTTTTCCTAGTTCCAACAGACCTCACTACCTCTGAGGATGCTTGCCATAGATGCAGGCGAAACGTCAGGAGAAATGCCTCTAGAACATGGCCCTATAGCCCGAAAAAAACCCACAAGAACCTAGTGATTCCAGCCATGAAAGCCTTCGACAATACATCAAAGGGAAAGAGCAATAAACAACCATAGAGAGGAGCATCTCCCCCTCGCGCGCCCCCTGGCGCCCGTGTCAGGAAAGGCAGGCGTGGCTCACCTGGAGGAAGGCGATCTCTCGGAAGGTCCTCTGCATTCAGGAGAGAAGGGAAGAGGGGGCGGGGCGTGAGGCGGGCACACAGGCCCCGCCCCTTTCTTGCCCTGCCTGAGTTGCGCGCATGCGCAGAAGGAGGCGGCGGCGGCTCCTCTTTCCCCTCCCTCCCTCCCTGCTTTCCCTTTCTGACCTGGGCGTCGGTGCGGTTGCGGAAGGCGTCGAAGATCTTCTTGACGGCCACGGCGGCGCCGGTCTTGCGGTCCCGCGCGCGCCACACGATCCCGTAGGCCTGGCGGGGGGGGGGGGGGGGGGAGTGAGGGAAAATGAGGGGGGGGTCCTGCCTGGGGGACCCTCCCTCCCTCGTTCACGGACTCACCCCCTTCCCGAGGCGCCGCTTGACCTCGTAGCGCCTGGCCACGGCCTCCTCCACCTCCACTGCCGCCGCCTCCGCACTCATGGCCGGAGAGAGAGAGAGGGACCTGTTGGCCGCCGTTGCCTTGGAGACGCAGGGGACCAATCGCGCGCGCCGGGGGCGGGGCCGGGAGCGCCAGGAGGACACGCCCCCTGCTCGCTCTCTCGCTCGCCCTCTCAAGGGGCGCCATTGGCCGCCGTTGCCTTGGAGACGCAGGGGACCAATCGCGCGCGCCGGGGGCGGGGCCGGGAGCGCCAGGAGGACACGCCCCCTGCTCGCTCTCTCGCTCGCCAGGGGCGCCATTGGCCGCCGTTGCCTTGGAGACGCAGGGAACCAATCGCGCGCGCCGGGGGCGGGGCCGGGAGCGCCAGGAGGACACGCCCCCTGCTCGCTCTCTCGCTCGCCCTCGGCCCCAAGATGGCGCTTTTGGGCCTAGTCTTCCCTCAGGCGCGAAGGGAGGAAGGAAGGGAGGGAGGCCACGCCCACTGCGTGCTCGCCCTCGGCCCCAAGATGGCGCCATTGGGCCTAGTCTTCCCTAGACACTGAGGGATAGAGAGATTACATAGATAGATTAGATAGATGAGAGAGAGAGAGATTAGATAAATGCACCAAATAAATAAATAAATAAATAGATAGATAGATAAGATAGATGAGAGAGAGATTACATAGATAGATTAGATAGATAGATGAGAGAGAGAGAGAGAGAGATTAGATAGATAGATAAAATAGATGAGAGAGAGAGATGAGAGAGATTACATAGATAGATTAGAGAGAGAGATTAGATAGATGAGAGAGAAAGATAGATTAGATAGATGAGAGAGAGAGATTAGATTAGATAGATGAGAGAGAGTGATTAGATAGATTAGAGAGAGAGATTAGATAGATAGATTAGATAGATGAGAGAGATAGATTAGATAGATAGATGAGAGAGATTACATAGATAGATTAGAGAGAGAGATTAGATAGATGAGAGAGAAAGATAGATAGATTAGATAGATGAGAGAGAGAGATAGATGAGAGAGAGATTAGATTAGATAGATGAGAGAGAGTGATTAGATAGATTAGAGAGAGAGATTAGATAGATAGATTAGATAGATGAGAGAGAGAGAGAGATTAGATAGATAGATGAGAGAGAGATTACATAGATAGATTAGAGAGAGAGATTAGATAGATGAGAGAGAAAGATAGATTAGATAGATGAGAGAGAGAGATTAGATTAGATAGATGAGAGAGAGAGATTAGATAGATTAGAGAGAGAGATTAGATAGATAGATTAGATAGATGAGAGAGAGAGAGAGATTAGATAGATAGATGAGAGAGAGATTACATAGATAGATTAGAGAGAGAGATTAGATAGATGAGAGAGAGATTAGATCGATATAGATAGATTAGATAGATGAGAGAGAGAGATAGATTAGATAGATGAGAGAGAGATTACATAGATAGATGAGAGAGAGAGATTAGATAGATGAGAGAGAAAGATAGATAGATTAGATAGATGAGAGAGAGAGATAGATGAGAGAGAGAGATTAGATTAGATAGATGAGAGAGAGTGATTAGATAGATTAGAGAGAGAGATTAGATAGATAGATTAGATAGATGAGAGAGAGAGATAGATTAGATAGATGAGAGAGAGAGAGAGACATGAGAGATTAGATAGATGAGAGAGAGAGAGAGATTAGATTAGATAGATAGATTAGAGAGAGAGAGATTAGATAGGTAGATAAATAGATAGGAGAGGGAGGGAGACAGGTGTAGAAACAGAGAGGGAGATCAATGTGTAGGCCTCAAGGAGGCGCCATTGGGCCGAGTCTTCCCTCAGGCGCGGAGGGAGGGAGGCCACGCCCCCTGCTAGCTCGCCCTCGGCCTCAAGGTGGCGCCATTGGGCCTAGTCTTCCCACAGGCGCAAAGGAAGGAAGGAAGGCCACGCCCCCTACTCGCTCTCCCTCCCTCCCTCCCTCCTCTCGGCCCCAAGATGGCGCCCTTGGGCCTATATAGATAGACAGGGAGAGAGAGAGAGGTATATAGAAGTATAGATACAGAGAGGGAGATAGAGGTATAGATAGATAGACACCGCCTGAGCTCTGCGAGTGCAGCATTCCTCTGAATGAAGCAGGGAGGCATTATTACTATTATTATTATTAAACTTTATTTGTACTCCGCTAGCATCTCCCGAAGGACTCGATGTGGCTTACAAAGGCCAAGGCCTCAACAACAGCATCCCGCCTAGACTACTGCAACGCTCTCTACGTGGGGCTGCCCCTGAAGACGGCCCGGAAGCTGCAACTAGTCCCAACGCGCGGCAGCCATGATTCTAACAGGAGCGGAGCGCAGGGAGCACACAGCCCCCCTGTTGCACCAGCTCCACTGGCTGCCGATTTGCTACCGGGCCCAATTCAAGGTGTTGGTATTGGCCTATAAAGCCCTAAACGGTTCCGGCCCAAGATACCTATCTGACCGCATCTCGGCCTATGAACCCACCCGGACTTTGAGATCTTCCGGGGAGGCCCTGCTCTCGATCCCGCCAGCCTCTCAAGCACGGTTGGCAGGGACGAGAGATAGGGCCTTCTCGGTGGTGGCTCCTCGGCTGTGGAACGCCCTTCCTGTAGACGTTAGGCTGGCACCATCTCTCATGACATTCCGTAGAAAGTTGAAGACCTGGATGTTTGTGCAGGCGTTTGAGTAATTCAGTGCAATTGGTAATTTGAACATAGGAACGGAACAATGGACGACGAATTTGGATCACGCTTGGATGATGAGGCGATCGGGGATGGGATTTGTGATAACTGTGTATTGATGATTGCTTATTAGCTATTAATGGAAATGTGTAATTTAACTGTCATTGTATATTAATTATTGCTGTTTTTATTGTCTTTGCTGTTTGGAAACCGCTGTGAGTCGCCCTCGGGCTTGAGATACAGCGGTATACAAGAATAGTAAATAAATAAATAAATAAATAAATAAATAAATAAAACAATAACAATTATTATTATTATTATTATTAACTTTATTTGTACCCCGCTAGCATCTCCCGAAGGACTCGATGCAGCTTACACAGGCCAAGGCCTCAAAACACAATACAACACCTAAAGCAAATTAAAAACAGATTAAGCAGAATAAACAATAAACAATACATCAAGACACTATAAAACTGGGCTGGGCCAGTTTTCTGTGTGCCCAGGGGGGGAGTCTCTCATCGGGTATCAGCCATTGGTTGAGGTGCTGGGTTTGAGCCTGCCACTTTTGGACTCTTGCTTGCTAGTTCCAGCGAGTGTCTCTGTAGATCTTAGAAAACTATGTCTAGATTTAAGTCGTTGACGTGCTGGCTGATTCCCAAACAAGGGATGGACTGGAGATGTCTCTACCTTGGTCCTTTCACTATTGGCTGCTACTTCCCGGCAGATGTCAGGTGAAGCAATACCAGCTAGACAGTGTAATTTCTCCAGTGGTGTGGGGCGCAGACACCCTGTGATAATGTGGCATGTCTCATTAAGAGCCACATCTACTGTTTTAGCGTGGTGAGATGTGTTCCACACTGGTACGCACTCAGCAGCAGAGTAGCATAGCGCAAGGGCAGATGTCTTCACTGTGTCTGGTTGTGATCCCCAGGTTGTGCCAGTCAGCTTTCATATGATATTGTTTCTAGCACCCACTTTTTGTTTGATGTTCAGGCAGTGCTTCTTGTAGGTCAGAGCACGGTCCAGAGTGACTCCCAGGTATTTGGGTGTGTTGCAATGCTCCAGTGGGATTCCTTCCCAGGTAATAATCCTCAGAGCTCGGGATGCTTGTCTGTTCTTAAGGTGAAAGGCACGTGTCTGTGTTTTAGATGGATTAGGGATCAGCTGGTTTTCCCTGCAATAGGCAGTTAGAGCACCTAGAGCTTCGGAGAGCTTCTGCTCTACCATCTCAAAGCTCCCTGCTTGAGCGGTGATGGCACGATCATCAGCATAGATGAAACTCTCTGTCCCTTCTGGCAGTGGCTGGTCATTTGTGTAGATGTTGAACATGGATGGAGCAAGCACGCTCCCCTGAGGCAGGCCGTTCTTCTGTTTCCGCCATCTGCTTCTCTGGCCCTGGAACTCAACAAAGAAGCTCCTGTTCTGTAGCAGGTTTCCTATGAGGCGGGTGAGGTGAACCTTCCTAATGCAGCGACCCCTTAATGCAGTTCCTCACGTTGTGGTGACCCCCAACCACAATATTATTTTTGTTGCGACTTCATAACTGTAATTTTGCTAATGTTATGAATTGTCATGTAAATATCTGATATGTAGAATGCATTTTCATTCACTGGACCAAATTTGGCACAAATACTCAATATGCCTAAATCTGAATACTGGTGGGGTTGGGGGGGGGTGATTTTGTCATTTGGGAGTTGTAGTTGTTGGGATTTATGGTACATTTAAATTAAAAGAGCATTCTGAACCCCACCAACGATGCAATTGAACCAGACTTGGCACACACAACTCTCATGACCAACAGAAAATACTGGAAGTGTTTGGTGGGCATTGACCTTGAGTTTGGGAGCTGTAGTTCACCTACATCCATAGAGCACTGTGAACTCAAACAATGATGTATCTGGACCAAACTTGGCACAAATAATCAATATGCCCAAATGTGAACACTGGTGGAGTTTGGAGGAAATAGACCTTGAGTTTGGGAGTTGTAGTTGCTGGTATTGATAGTTCACTTGCAATCAAAGAGCATTCTGAAGGCCACCCATGATACAATTAGGCCAAACTTCCCACACAGAACCCCCATGACCAACAGAATACACTGTGTTTTCTGATGGTCTTTGGTGACCCCTCTGACAACCCCTTGCGACCCCCCCAGGGGTCCCGACCCCAGGTTGAGAAACACTGGCCTAGCCCAAGTCCAAGTATTAAGGGGTCACGGCGTTAGGAATGTTGAGAACCACTGATCTAGGATGTTAAGATCTTCTGGGGAAGCCCTGCTCTTGGTCCCACCTTCCTCACAGATGTGTTTGGCGGGAACGAGAGACAGGGCCTTCTCTTTGGTGGCCCCTTGACTGTGGAACACCCTACCTTAGAGAGATAAGATCGGCTCCCTCCCACCAGACTTTTGGAGCAGGCCTTCCCAAATACAACATTTGTTGTTTATTCGTTCAGTTGCTTCCGACTCTTTGGTCTTATGAAATAATGGAACTACTTGATGACACAATTGAGTAATGACTTGATACGGAGAGGCTCACGATAATGTTTTAAGGCTTATAAGGTTTTATATGTTTATATTGTATGTTGATGTTTTTAAGAGTATTTTCTGATTATTCTATAAAGTCCTAAACGGTTCTGGCCCAGCGTATCCGAACGCATCTCTTCCTACAAACCCTCGAGGAATTTGAGATCGCCCGAAGAGGCCGTGCTCTCGATCCTGCCTGCTTCGCAAGCACGTCTGGCGGGGACGAAAGACAGGGCCTTCTCTGTGGTGGCCCCTCGGCTGTGGAACTCCCTCCCTAGGGACATTAGCTCAGCCCCCTCCTTCCTGACCTTTCGGAAAAGAGTAAAAACTTGGCTCTTTGAGCAAGCATTTGGAACCTCCGAATAAACAGACAAACTTGAATTGAAAAATGACCCAGGGACGGCCCAAGACGATGGAACGGATAAGGACTTGAATGAGAGGATATAGTTTTTAGCTTTTAAGATTGTTATTACGCATTGTCTTATGTCTAATTGCACTATAATGGTTCTTTTGCTTATCAATGTATGTATTTTTATGGCATCGAATTGTGCCAATTGTGTACGCCACTCTGAGTCGCCTCCGGGCTGATATGAGCGGGGCAGAAATAATGCAAATAAAATAAATAAATTCTACTTTTTAATTGTTTAACTGTTGAGGCATCAAATTGTTGCCCTAAACGGTTCCGGCCCAAGATACCTATCTGACCGCATCTCGGCCTATGAACCCACCAGGACTTTGAGATCTTCCGGGGAGGCCCTGCTCTCGATCCCGCCGGCTTCTCAAGCACGGTTGGCGGGGACGAGAGATAGGGCCTTCTCGGTGGTGGCCCCTCGGCTGTGGAACGCCCTTCCTACGGACATTAGACTAGCACCATCTCTGATGACATTCCGAAAAAAGTTGAAGACCTGGATGTTTGTGCAGGCGTTCGAGTAATCTAGTGCAATATTGGTAATTGAACATAGGAATGGAACAATGGACGACGAACCTGGACTACGCTTTGATGATGAGACGATTGGGCTGGTTATTGTAATAATTGTTTAGTGTAATTGCTTGTTGTTTATTAAGTGGATAATGTGTCAAGTGGTCAATTGTTATATGTGCATTGAATTATTGCTGTTTTTATTGTGTGTAAACCGCTGTGAGTCGCCTTCGGGCTGAGAACAGCGGTATATAAGCAAAGTAAATAAATAAGTAAATAAATAAATAAATTTGTAAACCGCTCTGAGTCACCTCTGGGCTGAGAGGGGCAGTAAATAAATATGGTAAGTAAATAAATAAACAAATAATTGGGCCTGGCCCTCCCTCTCTCCCTGAGGCACAAGGAAGGCAGGCCACGCCCCCTGCTTGCTAGCCGTCCCTCCTCCCGGCCACAAGGTGGCGCCCTTCCCTCCCTCTTTGCCTGAGGCGCGAAGGAAGGCCACGCTTCTCCTTCCGGCCACAAGATGGCGCCATTGGGCCTAGCCTTCCCTTCTCATCTCTCCCTGAGGCGCCAAGGAAGGCCACGCCCCCTGCTCGCTTGCTCTCCCTCCTCCCGGCCACAAGGTGGCGCCATTGGGCCTGGCCTTCCCTCCCTTTTCCCCTGAGGCGCGAAGGAAGAACCACGCGGAGCCGGGCGCCACCACCTTCAAGGCCTCGTTTATTCTGGCGGAGAGGGAAAGGAGGAAGGGCAAAGAGGGGCCCATGGGGAGCTGGGAACACTCCACCCCGCCCCCAGCGGCCCTGAGAGGCAGACCCCCCCCACACACACAAACACACTTGAGAAGGCACTTTTGGGGGGGGGGGTGCGGCCTACTGGAGCCCCTTCTGACAGGGAGTGGGGGGGGCAACAGAAAACCCTCCCCCCCCCACACACAAACACACTTGAGAAGGCACTTTGGGGGGGGCCGGCCTACTGGAGCCCCTTCTGACAGGGAGTGGGGGGGGCAACAGAAAACCCTCCCCCCCCACACACACACAAACACACTTGAGAAGGCACTTTTGGGGGGGGTGCGGCCTACTGGAGTCCCTTCTGACAGGGAGTGGGGGGGGCAACAGAAGACCCTCCCTCCCCAAGGCCTTGGGGCCCCTACCCTGGAGGAGTGTCCTGAGGAGGGGGCTGTCTGAATTGAAGGGGCTTTGGCTGAAGCCCCTTACCCCCTCCCCATCCCCCCCCACGTTCTGGTGGTCATTCCCTTTGGTGGTCAGTTCCTCCTCCTCCAGGGTCTCAGGCTCCCTGACCATTCAAGGAGAGGGAGGGGGCTCTCTTTGCCAGGCAGTGGCAGCAGGAGAAGGACACCCCCCCTCCCTCCCCCCCAGTGGTCATTCCCTTTGGTGGTCAGTTCCTCCTCCTCCAGGGTCTGGGACTCTCAGGCCATTCAAAGAGAGGGAGGGGGCTCCCTTGGCCAGGCAGTGGCAGGAGATGGACACCCCTCCTGCCCCCCCCCCCAGTGTAGCCCCTTGGCTGGGCTCCCCAGTGAACAAAGGGGACCAAATTGGAGGCAGTTGAATGGCCTCACAATGACTCACTCACTACCATGTGCAGCCTCCCTCCCTCCCCCAAAAGGAGCCAAAGTGACCCCCCACCCCGCTACAAGGGCCCTGAGCAGAGGGGAGGGGATTCCCTGCATGTAGAAAGCCAGCATTTGGGAAAGAGACAGCCACCCAAAGACACCACAGGACCCCCTCCAGAGGAACACAGGATTGGGTTGTTGTTGTTTTTTCTGGGCTATATGGCCATGTTCTAGAGGCATTTTTTCCTGACGTTTCACCTGCATCTATGGCAAGCATCCTCAGAGGTAGTGAGGTCTGCTGGAACTAGGAAAATGGGTTTATATATCTGTGAATGAACAGGGTGGGACAAAGGACTCTTGTCTGCTGGAGCTAGGTGGGAATGTTTCAACTGACCATAATATGCTGTGTCCAACTGGCCTGGACACACCATATGATAGAGGTAGTGAGGTCTGCTGGAACTAGGAAAATGGGTTGATATATCCATGGAAGAACAAGGGTGGGACAAAGGACTCTTGTCTGCTGGGGCTAGGTGTGAATGTTTCCACTGACCACCTTGATGAGCATTTGATGGCCTGGCAGAGCCTGGGGCAATCTTTTTTTGAGAGGTGATTAGATGTCCCTGATTGTTTCTTCTCTGTTCTTGTGCTGTTGTAATTTTAGAGTTTTTTTTTAATACTGGTGGCCAGATTGTGTTCATTTTCATGGTTTCCTCCTTTCTGTTGAAATTGTCCACCTGCTTCTTGTGTATTTCAATGGCTTCTCTGTGCAGCCTGACATGGTGGTGGTGAGAGTGGTGTCAGAATTATATGTATTATGTGTATTAGTTTTAAATGTAATTCTTGTGTCGCAAATATGGATGCCACTGAGAATGGAAATGCTGTGCTGAAATGTTTATGTTGAGGCTGTGATGAAGTGACCTTAAGAGAAGCTCTCTTCTTCTGCTGAGAACTTCTAGGGAGTTGCCGCTTGGAGCAAGAAAGACTAACCGCTGCAAAGTTCTGTTTTGACTTTCGGTTTTGTGTGTCGCTCGCTGTAGATGGACGTGTTTTCCTGTGCTTAGTCAACTGAGTTTTCTTTTGTAACCAAAGTCTCCAGAGTCCTTGATTTCAGAGCTGTGTCTGGTGGATCTAGCATTTCGCTTCTGTCAAGTTGCACCTTAGCTTGACAAGTGGTCCAGCATTTCTGTGCTCTCAAATCATATGGTGTGTCCAGGCCAGTTGGACACAGCATATTATGGTCAGTTGAAACATTCCCACCTAGCTCCAGCAGACAAGAGTCCTTTGTCCCACCCTGGTCATTCCACACAGATATCAACCCATTTTCCTAGTTCCAGCAGACCTCACTACCTCTGAGGATGCTTGCCATAGATGCAGGCGAAACGTCAGGAGAAAATGCCTCTAGAACATGGCCATACAGCCCGGAAAAAACAGCAACAACCCAGTGATTCCGGCAATGAAAGCCTTCGACAGTACATTGAACACGGGTCCTGCCTGCTGCCCAGCGTGGGGCAGGGAGGGGGAGGTTTGTGGTCATCTGGACGCTCCGTTGCCATGGCCACCACTAACCCCAACCCATCCTGATATCCCCCCACCCTCGCAGAAGACCCTGCCCCCTCCCTCCTTCCCTCCACAGGAGGCTCCAGGGAAAAGGCACAAGGGTGTGTCAGTGCTCGTCAAGGGGAAAGGCACACCTGGTAAGAGAAGAGGCACCATGCCTGAGGCAGACCCTGAGGCAGAAGGCACAGTCCTGAGCAGAAAAGGCTAGATAGAAGACCCCTTGGTTGCCCCCCATCCCACCACCACCACTACCACCAGCAGCAGCCAAATTGTCCTCAGAGAGAGGCGAAGGTGCTCTGCTCTGCTTGGATCCCCCACAAAGAAGGCAGGTGGTGTTGGGCTTGAAGGCCCCTGGCCACCGTCCGGGCGGCAGTCAGTCTTTCCCTGTCCTGCCACCCCCTCCCCGTGGCCCTCGTGTCCCCCCCTGTGAGGGCTGCCCACCAACAAAGGTCCCTCTGGGAGAGTGAAGAGTCCAGCACCAGGGTGGAACTAAGGTCACTTTTTGGTCTTGAAGGTGCCCAGGAGCTTGGGCATGAACTTGCTCATCTTCTTGTCCTTGGCGTCCATGTCGCCGTCCAGCTCCTCGCTCGGGTCGTCCTTCTTGCAGAACACCTCGAAGCGGCTGTAGACCCGTTTCTCCTTCCTCATGCTCTCCATGCGCTTGAGGAGGGACTCCCGGTCCTCGGGGTGCTGCTCCTTCTGAAGCCCCCGCCGGTGGTGGTGGCCAAAGCTCTCCGACCGGCTGATCCCTGTCCCGGCCGAGCCCCGCTCTTCGGACACCCTGTGGTCCAGGCTGGTGGTGGACTTGGAGAGCTCCGGGTTGCCAGCCCCCGGGAGCTGCTGCCTGGCCAGCTCGGCCCGGTTCTTCTGGCTGTTGGCCGAGATCTGCTCCAGGATGACCTTGGTGTCGTCGCGGAGGTTGCTGCTGTAGAGGACGTTGGCGGTGGACAGGGGCAAGCGTGGCTGGCTGCCCCCCTTGAGGGCAGGGGCTGGTGGGCCCAGCTTTGGGGTCTTCTCCTCCTCCTCGATCATCTCGGGGTAGTCGCTCTTGGAGAGCCTCTTGACCGCCGCTGCCGTGTTCGGCCGGTCTGGCTTCCAGTTCTCAGGGCCAAGGTCATCGTCGGGCTTCCTTTCCGCTTTGGGGCTCAGCAGCTGCTTCAGCCGGAGGGAGCCCTTCCTGAAGAACTCCCTGGGACTCTGCTCCTGCTTGCTACCCTCTTCCTCTGGCTTGGCGGGAGGGCCCTCGGGGCTCTTGAGGGGCCCTTCGGGGGCCAGAGAGGGGCTGGTTTGCTCTGGGGAGGGCTTTTTTGATTCCGTTTCGGACGGGCTGTGCACGTCACTAGGGAAGGCCGGCTTCTCTTTCCTTTCTGGGGCAGTGAGCGACTGTGTTTCTCCAACAAAAATGAGGCTCTCCTTCTCGGAAGGGCTGGGCTTCTTGTCCACCGGATAGAACCGAGAGGACAGTTTGTCCATTTGGCTGCCGACCTGCGATGTGGGGTCTTTGCTGAGCCCTTCCGTGAGCTGGCCGGCCGGGGGGGTGCCCCCAAACTGCCCCTCTGAGTCCGAGAGCAACTTGTAGTTGTGGAAAGAGTCCTTGGCCTCCACCACGCTGCTCTCCAGGATCTTGTACTGCACCGACTTGGTGCTCCTTTTCTCGCTGCCCTGGCTTTCTTCTTGGAGGAAAGCGGACATGGCCTTGGTCTGGCTGACGGTGGTCCTTTCCGAGTCTTTGCCCACCGTCTTGTACTTCTCGAGCAGCTCGGCCACTTTGGAGGTGCTGGTCTTTACTGTCTCGCTGTCGTTTGTGCTCTCGCTGGTCGTCTGTTCTTTCTGTACCATCTGGAGCGTTTTCTCGGCCGAAGCATTGGGCTGGTCTAACTTGGCAGCACTGAAAATAAGGGAAGACCTGAGGCGAGAGGTCCTCTGGATCAAGGGGTTGATCCTGCTCCGGAAAGAGTCCTGCTTCGGGACCCCCAGGGCCTCCTCGGTTCCGGCCCCCGACTCCTTGGAGCTGGAGAGAGACAGGGGGGCTTTGAAAGAGGGGAAGAGGAGGTCGCTGGGATACCTGGGGAAAAGGGCTTCCGTGGGGGGTGGCCCCTCGCTGTGGCCCTCAGGCTCTATGGGTGCTGGGGCCCCCTCCTCGCCCGTCTCCGGCTGGCAGCCACTCAGGTACGAGGAGATCCTCCAGTTGCGCAGGCCGGCCCGGTTCTCCTGGGCCTTCTTGTCGTGCTCAGCCTCCTGGTCCTGCTCCTGGAAGAAGAGTCTCTGCTCCAGGCTCTGCTTCTGAGTTGGGGACGTCTGGCACAGGAACTTCTGCCCCATGTTCTGTCTCCGGAGGAGAGACGACAAGCCTTGGAGGCCGTTCCCGCCGGGGTTCATGCGATCGGAGCCGTGCCGCACTTCCTTGGAGGAGTTGGACGGCACGTAATCCAGCCGCAGAGGGAAGCCTTCCTGGGGGAAGCTGGACTCTAGCTCGGGGTACCGGAAACCGTCCGCAAAGTCCTCAGGTGGCTCATTGAATCCGGGGCGGCCTCCCCGTATCCTTTCAAAGAGCCCCTGGGGCCTGTGAGCACCGTGCGGGGGCTCAAACTGGTACTGGTAAAACTGGTCCTTCTGGAAATGGCTGGACTGGATTTTGAAGTCGTCCAGATTGTTGGCAAACATCTGCCTGGAGAACTGCTTGGAGGAGGTGAAGTTCTCGAAGGTGCCCTCGGCAAAACTGTGCCGCTTGAAGGCGTCCATCTCCATCTGCCGGGTACGGAGGAAGCCACGGCCGGGGTCCAGCTGCGCGCTCTCCAGCTCCGCCTTCTTGGCGTACATGCGCATTGCCGAACCCTCCATTGTGTGCCGCAGCATGTCATCCCTCCGGAAGGAGGACAGGAAGTACCGGTCCGGGTCCACCCTGTCCGCGAAGGGGCCCGGGAAGAGGCTCTCCTCCCGGGGGAAGAGCAGCGGGTGGGGCTTCTTTGGGAAGAAGGGCGGGTGGCCCCCAAAGGGCATCATCCCATAGGGTCCCAGCGGGGTCTCTGCTGCCTTCACCAGGACGTTGGCCGGGGGCACCAGGGGCTCTGACTGTGCAAACAGGATCCGAAACTCCTCGTCGAAGCTGGCCACCAGCTCCCCCTGGAAGATGTGGGCGATGCTGCGGTGGATCTTCTCAAAGGACCACATGAAGCTGAAATGGGGGAGGCAAGCAGGAGAAGGTTTAGGGCAGGGGCCACACATGAATAGTCTCCCCACACACCCACTCTCCCTCAAATTCAGTGAGCCACGGAACGCAGTCAAAGCCAGAGGGGGGTAGCTGGGGCTACCCCAATCCCCTTCCATAGGATGGGAGGATGGGCATCTGGGCACTCCAGGATAATAATAATAATAATAATAATAATAATACTAATAATAATTGTTCCGTCTCCCAGGAGTATGGGTTCTGCATTACCTTTAACTTGCTGGAAACAGCCTCTCCTTGCCTTTCTCCTAGGCCTCTGCAGCCTCTGCAAAGGCCTAAAAAGTTAGCAGCCAGAGGCAGGAAAGCCAGTTTGCAGGCCCTCTGCAATAATTGGCCAAAGAGTAGCTCTTTGGGCCCGCCCCTGTTTCCAGGATAGAAGCAGCCATTTTGGAGGTCTCCCTGCCCCTTCAGTTTTAGGAAGAATCCATGATGTGCTGTTGGCAGACAGGTACCGCAGAAAATACCATTGTAAAAACAATTTAGTTTAATTTAGTTATAGATAGAAAATAATTGAGTTTAATTTAGTTATAGATAGATTTATTGAGTAATTTAGTTTAATTGAGTAATTTAGTTTAATTGAGACCTATAGATAGATATAGATAGATAGAGTAATTGAGTTTAACTGAATATAGATAGTTTATTAATATAGATGGAATTTATTATTCATTGTTTTGTAGTATTGATAAGCTGAGCCAAGTCTACCAGGACTTCGTGAATAAATACCCTGTTTAATGTTTAAAATTGAAGTGGACTCGGTTATTCAAGAAAGCTCAATCTGCCTAAAGAAAGACCCCAGCAGTTTCGCCCAGACATAGATAGCAGCACGTCAAAGTTTTATTTTAAAGCGTCTGGGCGTAACGGCACAAGACTTTATTTGTACCCTGCTACCATCTCCCCAAGGGACTCGGTGCGGCTTACATGAGGCCAAGCCCAAAGTACTAGGGCTGGGCGGTTTCGTTTCGTTAATTCGTAATTCGTTTAAAATTCGTTATTTTTATATATATATAACGAAGCGATAACGAACCATTCTGGAGCAACTTAAAAACGAAACGAATTTTTCAATTCGTTTCGTAAATGCTTCGGATTCGTTATGTATTCGTTTCGTTATTGGTTTGAGGTCGTTTCATTATTATTTCCGCATGTCTGGGGCAAGTTTTATAGTTGTTTTTTGCTTAATTAGTGGAAAAAAATTATAATATCACACCAACAGTCAACAACAGAGGGAGAGGGAAGCTTCAGAAGTTCCCCCTGTCCCATTTGGAGGTTTTTTAGCGTATTGCGCGGTCGCGTCCGCCATTAACGAATCGATTCGTTATTGTTTCGTATTTGTTTCGTTAATGTTTCATAATTTTTTTAAACATTTACGAAATTTCGTAAATATCGAACTTTTTAAAAGAAAAATTTCGGAATTCTTTTAAATATCGAAACGCAAAAACCCCCCAAAAAACGAATCGATTTTAGAAACAAACTTTTCCGTTGTTACCCAGGCCCCCTGCTACCATCTCCCCAAGGGACTCGGTGCGGCTTACTTGAGGCCAAGCCCAAAGTACATCAAACAAAATGGAGTGTTGGGGTAACTCCCCAGTACAGGGGCACACCTGGACTTCCTCCCTGCATCACTGGCTGGTGGGCAGTGTCTCTCCGCTGCATTAGGGTGCAGGACGGCAGCCCCTTCGTCCCCTACTATCTCCCTCCTCATCTGCAGCTGCCGCTCACCAGTACCGTGCAGTCCACCGGCAGGTACCCGCTCCCCACTGTCTCTCTTATGAGCCAGAGCCCAGCCACAACCAGAAGGGGCTCCCCCATTGCACTTGGCTGCTGGGAAAGGCCAGCTTTGCCCCCACCCCTCCCCAGGAGGAAAGAGTGACTTTTGTCCCAGCTGGGATGGCTTCTGGGTTGGGCCTGTGCTCCCTGCATCACTTAGAATCATAGAATCATAGAATCAAAGAGTTGGAAGAGACCTCATGGGCCATCCAGTCCAACCCCATTCTGCCAAGAAGCAGGAATATTGCATTCAAATCACCCCTGACAGATGGCCACCAGCCTCTGTTTAAAAGCTTCCAAAGAAGGAGCCTCCACCACACTCCGGGGCAGAGAGTTCCACTGCTGAACGGCTCTCACAGTCAGGAAGTTCTTCCTCATGTTCAGATGGAATCTCCTCTTTGTAGTTTGAAGCCATTGTTCCATGTCCTAGTCTCCAAGGAAGCAGAAAACAAGCTTGCTCCCTCCCTCCCTGTGGCTTCCTCTCACATATTTATACATGGCTATCATATCTCCTCTCAGCCTTCTCTTCTTCAGGCTAAACATGCCCAGCTCCTTAAGCCGCTCCTCATAGGGCTTGTTCTCCAGACCCTTGATCATTTGAGTCGCCCTCCTCTGGACACATTCCAGCTTGTCAATATCTCTCTTGAATTGTGGTGCCCAGAATTGGACACAATATTCCAGGTGTGGTCTAACCAAAGCGGAAGACAGCATGGGGAGCATGACTTCCCTAGATCTAGACACTATGCTCCTATTGATGCAGGCCAAAATCCCATTGGCTTTTTTTGCCGCCACATCACATTGTTGGCTCATGTTTAACTTGTTGTCCACGAGGACTACAAGATCTTTTTCACACGTACTGCTCTCGAGCCAGGCCTTGTCCCCCATTCTGTATCTTTGCATTTCATTTTTTCTGCCAAAGTGGAGTATCTTGCACTTTCCTGGGGAGGGGACATTGCGGGTAACCCTCACCCTTAATACATGTGGAAATATGTTCTAATACATGTTTTACTGGTCGTGTTTTAATACTATGATGTGTTTTAATATTGTGCCCTACCTCGAGGTGTGAAAAAGATCTCGGAGTCCTCGTGGACAACAAGTTAAACATGAGCCAGGAATGTGATGTGGCGGCAAAAAAAGCCAATGGGATTTTGGCCTGCATCAATAGGAGCATAGTGCCTAGATCTAAGGAAGTCATGCTACCAATGCTCTATTCTGCTTTGGTTAGACCACATCTGGAATATTGTGTCCAATTCTGGGCACCACAATTCAAGAGAGATATTGACAAGCTGGAATGTGTCCAGAGGAGGGCGACTACAAATGATCAAGGGTCTGGAGAACAAGCCCTATGAGGAGCGGCTTAAGGAGCTGGGCATGTTTAGCCTGAAGAAGAGAAGGCTGAGAGGAGATGATAGCCATGTATAAATATGTGAGAGGAAGCCACAGGGAGGAGGGAGCAAGCTTATTTCTGCTTCCCTGGAGATGAGGACGCAATGGAACAATGGCTTCAAACTACAAGAGAGGAGATTCCATCTGAACATGAGGAAGAACTTCCTGACTGTGAGAGCCGTTCAGCAGTGGAACTCTCTGCCCCGGAGTGTGTGGAGGCTCCTTCTTTGGAAGCTTTGAAACAGAGGCTGGATGGCCATCTGTCAGGGGTGATTTGAATGCAATATTCCTGCTTCTTGGCAGAATGGGGTTGGACTGGATGGCCATGAGGTCTCTTCCAACTCTTGGATTCTAGGATACTTTGATTCTATAACTTCCTGACTGTGAGAGCCGTTCAGCAGTGGAACTCTCTGCCCGGAGTGTGGTGGAGGCTCCTTCTTTGGAAGCTTTGAAACAGAGGCTGGATGGCCATCTGTCAGGGGTGATTTGAATGCAATATTCCTGCTTCTTTGCAGAATGGGGTTGGACTGGATGTCCCATGAGGTCTCTTCCAACTCTTTGATTCTATGAGGAGAGGCGGATAATAAATATTTATTGTTGTTGTTATTATTTGTCCCTCCGCTGCCCTCCCTCCTCACCTGTAGCTGCCACTCAACACCACCATGCAGTCCACCAGCAGGAACCTCTCCTTGACGTGGCCCTTGAAGGACTTCCCAGTGCGGCAGTAGTAGGTGGGGCCGGAGACTGTGCGGACCCTCAGGAACTGCAAGGCAGCAGAGAGGTCAGGCTAGAAGCCCCTCCCCAACAAAGCCCCTGGGGCGGCCCCTAGACCCCCCTCCCAACTCACAGCTCTCTCCTTCAGCAATACTCACATCCACGTAGTTGAGGTTGACTCGGCACTTGGCGGCCATGTCCAGGAAGAGCTGGGCCTGCATCTCATCCAGCAAGATGTAGACGGGCACCCGGCGGGCGGCTGCATCCAGCACCTCGGCCAGGAGGTCCACATCCGTGAAGACATCCATCACGATGGCCACCACCTGCGTGGAAGGAGGCCATCAATCCCAGGTGGAAAACAAAGGGCTACCCAACTCTCCCTCTGATGACCCTTTGCCTCTCTCTTGGACAGGGAGCTCAGTCGTCCAGGGCTTCAGGGACTCACCCCGCTCTCTTTCCCAAAGAGGCCTCCTCACCTGTTGCGCCGCGCGGATCATACGCCGGGCTTCCTCCTTGATGCTGGGGTTGTCCGGGGGTGGGGGCTGCACCAGTGTGGTCACCTCTGTTCCCCGGAAGCCAAAGACCATCGGCCAGCCCAGGTCCAGCTCCGGAACGGCCAGGTCGGAGTTCATTGGCCAGTAGGTCCCCGATGAGCCGTCCAGGTCTGTGTCATTGGGGGGCGCGGAGCCCCCACTGCCCCCTCCGCTGCCTTCCCCGCCGCCACCCCCTCCCTCCCCAGCCCCCCCACCCCCCTCTTGGACAACATGCTGGGGCTGCTGCAGGTGCCGCGTGATGTGGTCGACCTCCGAGGGGCACAGGAAGTCCGGGACGCCCTCCTCCTCCAGGAAGCGCTGGTAGGCCTCGGGACCCTCCTCGGTCAGCGCGTCCAGCGCCTGCCGGTAGTATTCCTTGTAGTGTGGTGGGAGGTAGTTAGGGTCCAGCGGGTTGTCACCCTGCGAGGAGCTCTGCGACCGGCGGGCCATGGCAGAACAGGGGGGAGAGCTGTGGGGAGAGAGGAAGGGTCATTGTGGGCAGCAGAGCTCTGCAGGGTCAGGCGCCTGCCCTTCCCACCCATGGCACCCAAAGCACACACCCCCACATCCCTGCCCATAGAGGCCTTAAGGTCAGTGGAAGAACCAGTATGGCCACACTCCCGGAAAAACCTCAGAGTCCAGCAGATGTCAAACCAGTGAGTGTGTACTGCACTCAAGAACGAAAAACGGAATATTAGTGGACAACAACAGAGATTTGAAGACAGGCTTAAAGCTAGCCTTAAGAAATGTGGCACAAACTTCTGGGAAAACCTGGCCCTTGAGCATCTAACTGAAGGTCAGCTTTGCCAACAGTGCCATGGATTTT